CAAAATGTAGGAATTCCAGGATTTCCAGGTGAGGAGTGGATGAGCAGACAGGTGTTGGTCTGGTTGGCTTGAGGAGAGAAAACAGGTTAGAGTATTAACTCCAGCAATGAGTAGGAGCGAACATGTCTACAAGAAAAATACACAAAGAGGAGCAGGACTGTCACTGCATGACGCTAAACAGTTCCATGAAGAATAATGGCTCCACTCAGCCTTAAATACAAGAGGAACCAATCAGGTTGATGCCGGTGGAGCTGACACCACCTGAGGAAACGCCCCTCTACAGAGCACCTGTACAAGGACAGATTACTGACAAGAAAACAGTAAAGACAGCTGACTCAGCAATTCAAGTTCTGAGTTAAACCACCAAAAGTTAAACTATGAACACTTTTTTATGTTATTGTTTGAAAGTGACAAAATGGCACGGGAGGTTCTGACTGGACTTTTGAGGTGTCAACATGATCTCATTGCTCTCTATGATGGACTGGACACTTGTCCAGGGTGTCCCCTGCCTCTAAACTATTGATGGACGAAGACCGACACCAGCTCCTCAGGACCCAGAACAGGATAAAACAGAACTAGAAATCAGATGAATACTACACTGGGCGGCTGTGGCTGAGTTGCTAAAGCAGTCGTCCACCAATGGGAGAGTTGGGGGTTTGATTCCACCAGCAGTCACATGCTGACGTGTCTCTGGCAAGACACTGAACCCCTCACTGCCTCTGATGTGTGTCCCATCGGTGTATGAATGTGAAAACACTGATTAGTCTTTGTATAGATCCAGTAGAGTGCTGTATGAATGGGTAAATGAGGGCTCAGATTGTAAAGAACTTTGAGTATCTTGATAAGGTGTTATATAAGTATACTCCACTTACCATTTACAGAACCTGGCTGGTGTCAGGTCTGGGAATAAAACTAGAGTTCAGGAGTAATCAAAACCCACCCTTGGATCAGAAAGAACCAAGAGAAGACTGAAACGTAGAACAGAGTCTCAACATTTTCCCAAACTTCATCGCCCTCTAACCACAGAGAAGTCGATAAAATTATTGCAATCAAAACGAGTATTAAGCAACTCCCGGTTGCAGAAATCCCAGATCTGATAAGCATATTGGTGGAAGTGTCAGAGTTCTGCGTGTTGCCCAAGGACACTTTGACACTTGGTAAGGCTGGAGATCAAACCAACCCCCCAATCCTCTGACCAGACGAACACTCGGGCATCGAGCCACGGCTGTCAGTTTACAGTAAGTTTACTGCTGGAACACTGGAATATAAAGGTTTGTGGTGAACGGGTTTTCTTTTTTTATTTTGTGGAAATCCTGGCACATTTTTCTTTGACTGACAGCCAGCAGTATTTTCAAGGCTTTCCTTCCTGGTGAAGCCCGGGCGACAAACTGCGCATCACAAGCGGCCAAGATGGCATCCATCTCACAGCCCTGCCACAGCTGAGTGAAGCTGACACCCCACCCACTTCCAAAATTAAAGCAAATAGTCTGAATGGTTAGTGCTCCGTTAGTGCTGGTTTGTGCCGTTAAAATTTTCGTTAGTGCTGCTTTGCTTTATGAGATATTAAAGATTAATTTTTAGGTCATCCAAAGGTCACCATCCCCCCATGTTGCTCCAAAACAGACGCGAGTGGTCTACTTTTTTAGTGCTTCGTTAGTGCTCGTTTGTTCCGGTGAAAGTAGCGTTTGTGCAGCTTTAGTTTATGAGATATTAAGAATTATAATTTCGCCCCCATGACGTCACCATCCCCCCATGTTGCTCCAAAACAGACGCGAGTGGTCTACTTTTTTAGTGCTTCGTTAGTGCTCGTTTGTTCCAGTGAAAGTAGCGTTTGTGCAGCTTTAGTTTATGAGATATTAAGAATTATAATTTCGCCCGATGACGTCACCATCCCCCCATGTTGCTCCAAAACAGACGCGAGTGGTCTACTTTTTTAGTGCTTCGTTAGTGCTCGTTTGTTCCGGTGAAACTAGCGTTTGTGCAGCTTTAGTTTATGAGATATAGATTTTTCTTTCAGGTCATTAGCGATGACTTAAATTGATGACGTCTGTGGTTTTCACTGAACATCAACACCACAAAGAAAGCATTTCTTAATTCTGTTTTTATCATGCAAGTTAAATGCTGTTTTATGTGCTGCTGTAAAATGTGTGCCTTCTCATGTAGTTCGCACTTTATTCCTTAATAAAGATTTTAAATTTTGTTTTTTTGTCTCATTTAAAGACATATGCTTTAGATGGCAAAGTCAACCAAGTCCAATAGCCTGCATTTTGCTTTTTCAACAGTAATATTTTCTCATAAATGGGATGGATGGGAAAAAAAACGGAAGTGCATGGCACGTATGTCATTGGCTGAAAGTTCATTTATCCAAGTGATTTACTTTTGTTTAAATACAATTTAATATGCAGCGAGCTTTAAGTTCTATTGACATTTAATGTAAGAATTTTGGAAAAGAGCATTGAACATTTGGCAACTTTGATATGTTAACGTTTTCACATAATGTCATAGGGATTGGCTCTGCCCACGTGATGACCATCACGACCCTCACCTCAGTGAGCAGGTGACTTTTTGGCGGTAAAGCAAGAGAAATCTGAATTTCCCATTCAACATTTTCCATGGAAAAGTAGCTGTTAAAACATTTAAGTGTGTTGAAGAAAAATTTAAAATCCTTCTATTGCCCAACCCTCTGTTGAACTTTATTTTTACAAGGTAAGTAAACTACTAATGTTGAGGTTTTAGATAAAACACTGAATAACTGTTGGGACTGCAATCCAGCCCCCGATTAGCAGAGAAGGACACATGGTTGTGTCCCTTACATATATATTTCTGTATATCCACAATTTCATTACGTTTTAAGTCCAGAGATTTAAAACAGATTTAAACAAATATTCTTCAAGGCTTAATCTTGCAGCTTTTACATTCATATTCAGTCATGGATGTTAAGGAACATCAATAGCCCAGACAGGACAATTTTTAGAACAGATACTTCAATTGAAATTAATTGAAATTTCACTTCAGTGATTTAAAAAAAAAATGCAATGTTGAACAGAAAAAAAATGCGTAATCACAATTCAGCATAAATGTCACACAGATGTAAGAGAGAATACTAATTTAAACATAAATTGAGTTGTGAAAGAATGCTGGAATAAAGCTTGTGCAATTATACAGGCCAGAATACTTTTGTTAATGCTAACCAAAGCCTTTTTATTCTTTAACTAGATGCCTCGACAGCCAGCAATACACAGGGATTCCCTTTTTGCATTTCTCTGCAAATCAAAACAGGCTATCTTTCAAAATAGCAAAATAGCCACTCCATCTTCCACTATTTGGACAGAATTAAGTCAGCAGCTGGAAAACAAGATGTCTCCAAAAGCTCTGTACACTTTTGTAAAAACAAACAGACACAACATCTGGTCATGAGGACACCAATATCTCCCTGCACACTAGGCAGTCCAAGAGGTTCATGTCTGGAAACCTTCGTGCACAGATTTCAAAAGACCTGTGTGAGGGCAGGATGGAGCCAGCCGTATGGAGGTCAGCGAAGGCATCCGATTTGATGGATATTGGAGATCCTGAGCCAAGTCACCTGCCAAATTTGGCCACCCTACGAAAAGCTAAGCAGGAGAGAAGAGATCAGGAATTAGGTGACAAAGATCCCATTTTGTCTTTGCAGTTATTAAAACATAGCACACCTCACAGTGGTAGTATAAGAGACATTGGTCTGGACAAGTTCTTCTGCCACTATTGGAGTCCAACACAGCTACATGTATATAACACATTGTCCAAAAAATGTCCCTCTGTAGTTTGCTTTGATGCAACAGGCTCAGTTGTGAGAAGACTGGTGAGACCAAATGGAACATCTGGCCACATCTTCTTATATCAAGGTGTTCTGACAGGGGACAACTGCTCGGTCCCAGTTGTGCAAATGCTGTCAGAGAGACACGACATAAATGCAGTTGCAACATGGCTGACAGAATGGCTTCGTACAGGTGCTGCTGTACCAAAGGAAGCCGTGAGTGACTTCTCCCTGGCTATTCTCGGTGCTCTGGTGAGGGCCTTCACTCCTTACCCTGATCTGAAGGCATACATTAACGAATGTTTCCGTCTGCTACTTGGAAACAAGTCAGCAAACTGTCCTCCATGTTTTATCAGAGTTGATGTGGCACACTGCATAAAGATGATCTGCCAGTGGGACTGCCTGAAAAACAAGTCACACCGTGTCAAAGACTTCTTTGTCAGAGCAATAGCCAAGCTTCTACAATCACAGTGTTTGGACCATGCAAAACAGCTGATACATGCGATCACTGTTGTGGCCCTCAGTGAGGCAGAGGGTGATGATAGCTCTGGAGTTCCTCTGGAATCAGAGAGGTGCAAAAAATATCTAAAAACACAGATAACAGAAGACTCCATCATTCCAGCCGAAGACACAAAGGAAGTGCATCAAATGGAACCTTTAGACGAGATCCAGACTGACCTTCGAGACTGGGTATCAAACATATGCGAGAAGAGCAGGTCACTCGCTGCAGCCAATGGGGACAGGGATAACATCCATTTCCTCCCTGAGATTGTTCCACACATTATAAGACTTGCAAGTTACTTGCCACTTTGGACAGGAGTAATGGTCCCCCTCTTCAGAAGCACTAGCCTCACTGCAAGCTCAGCCACTGTGGAAGCAGAATTCAAAAGTGTAAAACATGGCCTTTTTAAACATGAGAACTTGCCCATTAGACTTGATCGATTTATTTCTCGTCATCTTTCCTTCATCGAAGGAAATATGAGGATTTGTTCTGGAAAAGTAAAACATGAAATAGCTGGATTAACAAAAGTTTCAGAAACAAACTCTGCTTCCATGAGCACCCACAGTGCTGAAGCCAAGAGAAGAATAGATTCTCACCATTCTCCAGAACTTGATGAAACAAACATTCCGCCAACAGATGAAGATGTGGTAGAAAACTGGAGGGGACTAATTCTTCCACCGAAAAAAAGGAAGAGGACTTCATATCTTACTTCCTGCACTGAATGGCTCCATGCAGATCCATCTGTTCGGGGACAACCCCATCTTGCAGCTTGTGAAAGCCATTACTGCAGATAGTGTGACCCCAAAGATATACTCACAGAGGGCAGAGCTGCTTAGTGCAATGTTTCAAAAAATCGAGTTGAAGTCTGGAGCCCACCAAATCGATGCCCAGTGCAATATCTCCACTGTCATTGGTAAAACAATGAGAAATGTATCAAACATTTACCTGTCTAAACACTGCTCTTCTCAGTACTGCCAGCTAAACAAAGGAACAACTAGGGAAGTACCATTTGTTTCTCCTGACATTTCTGTCCTGATGAAGTCTGGCTTGGCTCAGCTTGGTACTTCAGTCGAAAATGGACTCTTACTTCCAGAGTCTACCTGCCTTCGCCAACTACAGAAAGAATCAGAATGTCCAGTTGCATTCAAAACAGGAGACAGCACGTCAGGGAAAATACTCTGTGCAGGAACTCTAACTCACAGCTACCGAATTGGAGAAATAGCATGGATTGTCACTGACCTCTTACAAACTACTCAGTTTACTTTGAGTGAATTTCCCTCCGTTGTGGCTCTCCAAGGAAAGACATTCACTTTGAGAGGAGTCATCGTTTTCAAGGGAAGCTTGACCAAAGATGTTATGGGACATTACACTGCATACTGCCGTACAGCTCCATGTGTGTGGGAGCTTTATGATGACCTGGCAAAAGCAGTGAAGACAGTGTCAGAGAAGGAAAAAATTCAACCACATGCAGCATTATACACAGCAGACTGAATGCTGTGAATGAACACATTCCACTTGGAAGTTTTCAGAAGCCCAGGTCAAAAGCAAATAGTTTGTTATTGTTTGATATTATAATTTATTTATAGTCAGACCATAAACAGGTTGTGTTTTATGTTTTTTGTGACCAATTATTACATGGCAAAGTATGTTTAAGTGTACCAATGGTGGTTTATTGAAATGTTTTAGTTTGTAATTCTTTTCCTATTACATCTCTCAAAAATATTTTTTTTTCAAAGAGTTTGTATACCTGTTATATACAAAATATATTACTTTACAATTATCAACAAGTCCCTTTTTCGTTTTGTTGTGACCATGTCTCAGTGTGAAAAAAAGATGTTCAATCTTTAAACATCAGAATGTTCAATTGTTAAAAAAAAATCATTTTCCAAAAGAAAAGTGTTTGTTATTCTTTGAAAGTATAATGTATATTACATTTTCAAACATTACATTGGATATATGTGATCTTAGAAGTCATGGTTCATTACTTTTTTCAATTAATTATAATCGAAAACCTTTACTGCTCCACAATAAGGAAATTTTGGTGTCCGCAACAAACCATAAAGAAATGAAAGTATACAGGTTCATGTCATTAAAAAGGTAGAAGATGTTCCAGGCTAAAAGTTATAACGAACAAAATGCAAAAACAAAAAGGCTGAATATGAGTTACAGTGAAGGACTGGAGAAATACAATACTGAGCGGGTAACAGAACGTTATTAATGTGCCCACCTAATGTGGATTTACCTTATTGTAAAACCCAAGTATGAAATGTTAAAGATTCCAATAAGGACACAGGTAAGTTTTGCTGGAAATGAGACAAGATTCAGAAAATTGTACATAATTTATTAAGCTTCAATAACGTCTTTAATTGCTGATAACCTGAATTTCATTAGTGAATACATTTAACGAAAATTTTTAGAAAAATAGCTACATTTCAAATGTCACGACGCAAGAAGCCTCACAACAGGTGAGGGCTTGCTTATATGCAGCAGCCAAAATTGGCCTTAAAGTGGCAACGTCATCGGGCGAAATTATAATTCTTAATATCTCATAAACTAAAGCTGCACAAACGCTAGTTTCACCGGAACAAACGAGCACTAACGAAGCACTAAAAAAGTAGACCACTCCCGTCTGTTTTGGAGCAACATGGGGGGATGGTGACGTCATCGGGGCGAAATTATAATTCTTAATATCTCATAAACTAAAGCTGCACAAACGCTAGTTTCACTGGAACAAACGAGCACTAACGAAGCACTAAAAAAGTAGACCACTCGCGTCTGTTTTGGAGCAACATGGGGGGATGGTGACGTCATCGGGCGAAATTATAATTCTTAATATCTCATAAACTAAAGCTGCACAAACGCTAGTTTCACCGGAACAAACGAGCACTAACGAAGCACTAAAAAAGTAGACCACTCCCGTCTGTTTTGGAGCAACATGGGGGGATGGTGACGTCATGGGGGCGAAATTATAATGCTTAATATCTCATAAACTAAAGCTGCACAAACGCTAGTTTCACCGGAACAAACGAGCACTAACGAAGCACTAAAAAAATAGACCACTCCCGTCTGTTTTGGAGCAACATGGGGGGATGGTGACGTCATCGGGCGAAATTATAATTCTTAATATCTCATAAACTAAAGCTGCACGAACGCTACTTTCACCGGAACAAACGAGCACTAACGAAGCACTAAAAA